AGGACCTAACCTGTTCTCCTTTCCTTTTCTCACATCCTCACTAGCGGAAGCGACAGGCTTTTAAAATGGCAAGCGATAGACATTCGTTCAGATGGTCAATTTGTTAAAGCTTCTATGTTTGCATTTACCTGTTGTTGATTACCCTGCTCATTTCATTTCCCCACAAGCATTAAGTTGCTCTATTTCTCTTTATCTCTCAGAGGTTCCTGAAAGGTTTAAAATGTCATTTGCTGTTTGATGTTGTACCTACCGATTCCATTCTGAAGTTTCGTCCATACGCCTCTCAAAACCATCGATTTGATCAAGGTCGAGCGTGCACACCTTTGGGTCTGATGAAGTTTCTACTAGTCAGAGAGTTCCTCTGCAAAATGGATCCATCACGTGAACAACAAGCTTATACTCTACTCTCTTCGCTGCTGCGCAATTAGTGTGATACTAATGATAGAGACTTATAGTTGGAATTCAGCTGCACGCGGATGTGATAAGTGTTCCATTCGCGGATTGATGCGGGTGATGAAAATCTGATTAGCTAATTTTTCTTTTTACAAGAACTGCGATGTAAACTTGCTTATGAGTTTCCACATCGTCGTTATTGCTACGTGCAAGCGACAGCCATTTTGAACGAGACTGAGATTTTACCCTGCGACTAGTTTTTCCGACATAGTCGATATCACCTGTGATACCTTTAGCCTATGGTCCGTACTTCTGTATGGAAATCTTGAGCTCATTAGATTCGGATTTTGAACTCTGTTACGTGTCATGCTTAAGCAAATCAGAGCATGCTCTCGCTGGTCAACCTTAGAAGCATCAAACAGAATTTTTTTTTATTCAACCGCTTTCAGCGGTAGTATACCCATACCCGCTAGAAAACAAATTCTGTTTAGCATCCAATACTCAGTATCTATCAACGTGACTGGGTTTAATGTCGATTCGACTACCCATGCCAAGACCGTTGACGGCTGGTTGCTGGCAGACAGATGCATCGTAGCATAGAATGACAGGGGAAAACAGGAGTTGTTCGCGCAAGGAATAGAGCACGCACCCCCGGATTAGGTAATTTGCGGATTGAAAAACCGCCTGACGCAAATGTTTTGAACATTACTTCCCCTAGAATCGTTGGTTACATGAGTTGGTAATTATAATGCTGTAACAAAATTATCGTGTTCTAGCAGTTTTTGTTTATGTTATGATACAGACTATTTTCCGAGTTATGAAACTCTTCCTTGTTCGTAATCTTCTTGTTAACTGCCATACTTCATCATCTTTACGTCAGATTTTGAAGAAAGTTCTGATCAGTGTTGAAGCATCACCGGAAGAGCGATATTAGTAATATTATGATCCTACTGATGCTCGATACGGTTATTTTTTACACTATTTATATGTGTCAATCACAGCCTACGTTCATAAGGAACGGTTAGGTTTTGAATCCCATTCACGCTCAACGGAACGACAATCTCCGAATGCTCCAGTTATGTCTCTCTAAATAGTGTTACAACATGATGAACGACCTAGTTCCAGAGATGAGCAAGAGGAAACGAGCGGCTTGGAGAACGTTTAAGAGCATCGAAGATGTACTGAAGAGGACAAAGAGCACCCAACTCCGTGCTCGGCGATTATCCCTGCCCTAACGTATGCAGCAGAAACCTGGTCGCTACGTAAGCAGGACGGATGATCACTTGGCGTTATCGAACGCGCAGTCGAAAGGTCGATGCTAGGAGTATCCGGTATCTCGCAATTGAGAGAAAGGATCCAAAGTTCTGACCTACGTCAACGATCGAAAATTAGAGACGCCCTTCTACACGCCACGATATTGAAAATAAGGTGGGACGGGCACGTGATACGCTTTAACGACAACCGATGGACGAGAGCCGTTACCGACTGGATTCCTCGGGACATCAAGCGCTCTACAGCAAAACCACCTATCCGTTGGTCCGATTTCTTCACGAAAGCGTTAGAAGAAAGATATGATGCTCAGCGAATCACATGAGCGAGGAGGACCCACTGGGCTACTCTTGCACGTGTTAGAGAAAAATGGAAGAGTTGCTGGTACCCGCTCGAGTCACTCGGCGATCAACGGGACGACAGGTGATACAGGTAAATCACAGCCTTGTACTTTTGTCGTTGGACTTACGACGATTTACGCATTTCACGTGTCAGTGATAAATCCACCTGACTCAGCTTACTTTCTGATGTCTAATGAAATTGTGTTGTAGACTTGTTCCCAAAACTGGTTCCATGCCTTAATAATGGTAACGAACTTTAAGGAATGTAATATTTCATCAAATAAAACTTTTGAAAAATCTTTGTTTATTGTTGTTGTTTACTTATCACACAGCGTTAGATGCCGCTGAAATTGCTTTTTGATGCTTACATGTGTGTGGCAAGAAACTCGGTTCATACTGATTAGGAAGGAACAAAAGATGAACCGATGTCAATAGCTGGAAAGGAATTTTTCATAAAAGTTTTTGTAACCATTAAAAAGCCAAAACTTGAGGCTACAAGCCCACACAGTCTGTTTTTTAGAACATCCTTCTAAAACCTTGTGGCACTCAGATCAAAATCATCTTTTATACTCGCCTTTTGCCTTCATTTTCATCACGCGTCTAATTCTCTGAAAACTGACAAGCATAGCAATGTGTGCAGAAGTTTTTGCAATATCTTAGTCAATCGTTTTCTTTAGAGTTCTTTCGAAGCGGAGAAAATATTCCTAATTGAATAACGATATATCGATCGTCCCTCCTCGCCCCGTTCCGACCACGCACCTGCCACGGCCTTCGCATTGGCGAATAGCATGCAAAAAACGTTATCAGAAATGTAAAACTCGATCTTATTTCCCTGCTAAACAATATTTTCGGAAAATAAGTTTATAGCTAGCATCAGAAGACATTGCGCTATCAAATTATTAATAGTTTGAAGAAAGAACTTTATCCGGAGAGGTTTGAAGCACAAACCAAAAGACCAGAGGAGATCAGAAGATCGAAAGGGCTTCTTATGAAGCAAACACATTTCTGAGTTCTTTGAAGCTTGTGATATAGTTTGAGTAGTAGCACTCTGAGGAAGTAATTTTGTCCAGCGAGATATACGAAAGATAAGAGAAAAACACGCGGTTTTATGAAACATGCTTTTAATTCGAATGTTACAACATTATTAAAGGGTGTTTTGAAAAACCGGTGATGTGAGGCTGTACCTTCAGTTTCAGCTTTCAAATGGTTGCTAACACTCTTATATAAATTTCTTATTCAGGGAGTGAGGTCGACTTTTCGTTTGTTCCCCCTAATCAGAAAGAAACTGAAATTCTTCTGCAATGGAAATTTAAGTGTTATTTGAATAAAGCTTGGGATACGTTATTTCATGAATATAGTGGGTATGTCGTGTTCTATGTCGAGTGATTAGAAGAGGGATTTGTTGGCGCAGCCAGGTAAAGGTGCATTGAAATTTTGAAACCCCGCTTTTGTGAATGGAAGATGCAAGAATAAACAGAAGAAAGGAATGATAAACAGTACAAGGAATTCTCAAACAATCTTCCACAGCTATTGTATACCCACACACTACTGTATACTCACATTGTATTCCACAGTATACCCCCACAATGTTTAGCAAAGGGAAATTAACAGGAGACTACCTAACGCTGGATTTTCGATGAAATTCGGTCTATTATTCATAAATAATTTTTACTGTGGAGGAGATTATGATAGATTCATATAAATAATGTTTTACCGCTTATTTCGAGTATTTTATTAAGACTGCGCTCAAATTTCAATATGTCCCATTTTATTTGAGCCAACATGTCAGGTACTCTGTTATGGGCTCTTATACAGCTCGATACACGTGTTTCGGCATTGCAACTTCGTCAGTCCTCCGGCCCTTCGTCTTTAACCAATCCTCTCGTGGGCTCCTACATCCCCTGTAAAGAGGTAGGCGACGACGAACGATTGACACAATCGCAGCCAAGTGAAAAATCCAACGTTGGCAATTTTCGACAGATGATTGCTCTTGAATGGTATGCTTGAACTCTTATACCGTTTACTTCGAGTGTTTTATAAAGGCCACGCTCAAATCTCATAACTAAGATTTATGTCTAATGTAGGAGCCATAGAAAGGAATGGCTAATGATGATGGGTCTTCCCGATTGACGAGGCTGCAAGGCCGAAACACGGGTATCGAGTTCTACAAGAGCCCATTACAGATCACATGACATGTTGGGTGTAGACAACTAAGAGATTTGCATGGAAGACATTTTCGGAACCGTCTATAAACGGCAGGAATAGGTGCACATTACAAGAATATGCATCATAACAGCTGACGACTGTTGATGAGATAAAGGCGTCCTTGTCTTCTAATGACCATTTTAAACGGCTGCAGTTGAGGATTTATTGGAATCAGATGTCTGCTGTACCTCTGCGTGAGATCTGAAAGCATGATAAACACACACTATTATGTTGGCAGGTTAATATTTAACTGATGTGACAAGTTGTGAAGCATCAAATCCAGCAATAATAACTGCTCAGTAGAAACTGCACAGGTGCAGTGTTGTATTTGAAACCACGATTTTTCACCGCACAATGAACTCTTCCAAAAATAGTTTTTTCTTATTTTTTTAAATGTAGGGAGTAGCTTATGACGAATCAGTGGGAAAATATCTGTGTTGAAAAGATATACCGGGTACCAGACCTGCAATAAAAAAACGTGTGGGAAAACACACTAATGAAAAGAACATACATCAGCAAAAATGCATTTCATTCAAGTATTTACTTTGCATCCTTGGGCACGAGCTGCATAAAAGGTGTATCCGACTCATCTTAACCCATGTCGAACTTTCAAAGTCAAGTTGTGAATATTTTGTATCACATTGAGGTGCAAAGGCTTCTATTAACAGGAATTCCCTATCAATTATGATGAGGACCTCTAGAACATATCATTGCATTGGCCAAATATGCATACTTAGCTGAGCGATAGTCAAATCGGCGATGACGTATAAGTGAGCGGTGTGCAAAAACGTTTGCGTCAGCCGGTATTCGAACCCAGACCTTACTCGTTCCAGGAGTGCATGTGCTAAACCGTTGCACCACCGACGCTCGTTTTGCACTCCACTCTTTCTACGCTGCAACGCGTTATCTGTCAACAGCCAACCGTCTACGGTGTGGCGGTGCAGTCATTATCGACATTGAACCCACTTTTATTAACAGATATTGGGTTTCCATAATTGATCGGAAATCATTCTATTTGACCGCCTATTGCGGTGTTATGATGTTTCAATAAACCCAACGATGTAGAGTGGTGTGCATATCTGTCACAGGAAAGAGCATTTGATAGCGTAAGTATCGACAATTCCAACTTTGTGCTTATGTCGTCAAAAGAACGTTTCACTCTAGAGTTATAGAGATAACAAGACTGAGTTACACAAACACCGCGCATATGCTTATCGGTTAGGGTGTGCGCGTGGCCGTGGATAGATTTGCGACCCGTCGATCGCGCAGGGGCGGCTCACACGTATAATACGATTTTTGTTATTAACTGCAGAAATTTTCTCCGCTTTATAAGAGATATAAATAAATCATATGGATTTTTATACCACAAGATTTTCTCTCACGTGCTTATGCTTTTCGTGGTTTCAGTGAGTATAAGCGCGACAATAATAAAAACGAACGGCGCGCTGAAAAATGATTTTCAAACAGCTCTGTAGAAAGGCTTTTTTTGAAAAACGCGCACTTACAGCTCCTCCACGTGATTTCAGCTTTCGAATGATTACTAAAAGTGAAATGGAAAGTCTTTCTCCAGCGAAAGGAGTTGTGCCTTCGTTCCCTGCTTGATAACCAAAGTGATTCGTAAAGTCTCTTTTGAAATTCTGTTATTTCGCAATCCTGAAGTAGCTGCGGTTGTGAAAGAGTCAGACGCCTCGAATCTAACAGTTGGCTTTAAGGGCGAAGTTTCGTAGCTTCTACTGCACGGTCACTTTTCTAAAAACGGGACTTTTGTTTGAGCAGAAGCTCAGCATACAACTGTCAAAATACTACAATTTGTGATTTATCAATGACTTTGTCGGTTTATTTTTTAAGTGTAAAAAATTTACTTTGAGATTATATTAGTTGTACATCACGTGTTAAACAGTGACGACTACAAGGACGCCATGGAGGATCGTGAGTGTCAGTTCTGGACGAAAAGAGTTGGAGCTGCGATCTGGCGTAATCAAAAATGGCAGCGTTGTGTGGTCTCAACCTCAGTGACAAACTGCGTATGAATCTAAATCCCAATCTTCATTCAAACTCGTATTTAATCTTGTGCCTTCTTCTTTCATGCAAACGGCTTAGACTAATGCAGTTATGTATCAGCAGGGCTCCTCTTCTCTAAACGTTTTCTGCTCTACGAAGGAAAAACAGCACCTGTTTCCAATGCTCAATTGGTGCCACCTTCTGATTACTACCACGAAATACCTCCATTAGCAATCTTTTGTACATTTGGTGAATATGATACTTATTATGGGGTTAGGTTTATACACCTTTTGATGACTTATTTTTATCATTTCCTCTTATCTGTCAATATGTGAATGTAGAGTTGCCTTGAGAGCCCTTATATTTTGCACAAAATCCATTCACTGAGTTTTTAGAAAATTTCTCTAGTCCTGACTGAGTACTTGTCTGCGTTATAGGCAGATAGAAGCTTCAAAAACCCTCATTTAGGAACTAAACAGTATTTTTATACTTTCTTAGTAATCTTTCTACCTTTTTCCCATCGCATATTAGGACATTTGAGTCTTCTCACGACTTGTGTTCGTCGGCGTGGACAACTTTGAAGGTTCAAAATCAAATCCAAAAAAAAGAAGAATGGTTTTAGCCTAAAAACAGTCGATTCAATGGATTAACTTTGAAGGTTGATAACCACAAGATCAACAACAAGAAGGAGCCACCAGCTGGAGTTCACCTTGCTGCGTATGATTAATGCAACATCACTACCAGTGCTTTGCCCTCCTCTCATATACAAAGTCATTTGCTGCCTATCACTTCTCATGAGAGCGCATGTGGCGCAGTGGTCAGAGGTGCTCTGCGGCGCACACGAGGTCAATGGTTCGATTTCGCGCTCATAGCTCACCATGCCATCCATCCCTTCGTGATCGATAAATTGGTATCAGACTAGTGTCAGATTTGTCTGGGAGGATAAGCAGCAGTGACTCGGTTCAGCGGGAGGTCACCGAGTCATTGTGAAGGCCAGACATGCATTTAATCATCTCAACGAAGTTAGAAATTGAAGACCAATGCATGGCGCACCCCTCAGGGATTGATCAGCACCGAGAGCTTTATCCTTTTTTCTTTTATCACTTATCATACATATAAGCACCCTGGTGCATCTGCTTGTTCTGAGGGGAAGTTTAAAATTCTATCGTGCGTCTAGGTGTTCATCATGTCGTCCTCTTCCGTTGTTATTTTTAAGAAGTGATCCTTGTTAAGAGTTCATCATGTCCTCTTAGTTCAACCTTGTGTTTACGAAGTCTTCAGAGTCATTTCGCCTCCTGTGATCGCATGGTTCGATGAACAGTTCTTCTTCGGTGTAGTTTTACCACATCATCAGTTCTAAGTATCTCTTTCTTATAGAATACCTTTCGAGGTGAGGTGAATCATGACCAGTTATCTCAGCATGTTCGAATATTTATATTCATGTGTCGCTTAAAACTCTCAGGATAGCGATGTAGTATTGTCATGCATAAGTTTACTATCCTTTTCCAGAGTGTTTTTCTTTCATATGGAGATTTTTTTTTGGAGTGATTCCTAATTACTCGGCATTACGTTCCTTCCCACTTGACTACAAGCTTTTACGCTAAATAATCTCTAGGATGCGTTTTTAAAACGAGAATATCATACACATATGATGAATGGGCCTACGTAAACACGAACAACTATTCCCCGAATTGGCACGGCATAAACGAAGGCTCCTTCGCAAAACCCGTCTGCATCTTAGTGTAACATAAAGTCGCGTTTGACTACTGTACAGTCTCTTATTCTTCACGTTCGAGAGCTCAAGTGTAAGGTGGTAGTTTACTGTGACACATTCGACTTCGCGCTGGTATGTTATTTCGAGAGTTACTGACGAATGAACTCGTTTTATGCTTGTACCGTAATAGGTTGTGACCGTAATTTTTTCCAAGTTTTAAAGTCCAAAACGTCATTGTTAACGACTAGTGTTTTTCGGTTCCTACACATTACCATATCCATAGCTATTCTGTAGATCAGAGCAGTGATGAATTTTTCACACTTTTCATCGAAGAGCCATCTATGGAAACCTCTTACTGGGCTTTCTTAAGCACATGAATTGTTTCCTTCTGTAGGCAACTTTAGAGCAGCCCCTACTTTCCGCCCCTCATCCTTGCAATGTTTTGTGTGAGATGGCAGATTTCCTGAATTTTCTCTCAAGTCTAAGACTACTGCAAGGGGAATGATAGAGTTAGAGGAATAGGGCAGTAAATGAATAGAATAATTAGGAGGTAAGTATGTGGTCTTATTTCGTACGTCTTGCGTACTCTCGCAAATATAAGAGAAATTAATGTTGAAGTACTTTGTTGTATCCATTCTATGGTCTTCACATAAGTTATGAGATGAACAGCATTTACCTCACACAACAGTGACCATCTGACCAGGAGGGAGCTTGAGAAAGTAGTATCTAACCTACTGTTCATGAACTCGGATGAATTTCTTGTATTAATTTCTTGGTGATAACGACGATTTATAGCTCACTATTTTGGAAGCTAATGCTTTTTTCTTTATTTGAAACTTGCATGAGGTTGATACTTTTTTTCCTCTAAATTTTGTGGCAAACGTTTCAGAGACGATGCCTTCGTCAGAGCCTTATTTTCAGTTATACGTGAAAGATCACCGGTCCTCTGTGACACACTTCGAGCTAATATGTCTATCTTCAATAACTTTGAGTATTTAAAGTTGACGTAGAGAGGGGATTCGCTATACTGTAAACAGTGTGGCGAATTCCGTGCTCTTTACTAATGATCAATTGTCCAAAGAATAACTCAAAAGCTATCTTTGACTTGACAACTTGGCTGTTTTAGAAATACTGAGGTTCAAGTCTAACATCATCTGGTTCGATATTATATTCTTGAGCATAACAACATTTAATTTTAGAAATTTTGAGAACAACGAGGAACGACTTATCTTTGAAGAATGTTTTGGAATTTTCGGGTTATATATTAGTGTAGTCATATTTAGAAATACCTCGAGTTTATGCAAAAGTCCAACAAATTAGTTGAGTTTTTATGGAAGCAGATATGGACGCACTCGAAGTGGAAGTTCTCCATAAGGTTAGCAGTGCTTGAGTATAATTTATTTAAGGTAAGGAAACAATTCGAAAGTGATTATGGGAACTAGATTTGATGCATGCGAAGTATTAGCCGAGTAATCAGATATGGTATGATTTATACGTTTAAGGCTCTGACGAAGGCGCCGCCGAAACGTTAGCTATCGAGTTTTAGAGGAAAACAAAGAAAGTACCAACCTGGTGCAAGTTTTAAATAAAGAAAAGGGCAGTTCGTAAGAAATTTTGCATTTCTTCAATCATGCCGAGGTTTAAAGATAGCTGGACTTTGAGATACGGGGACTTGATTTCCCTACAATATTAAAACTATCATACTCCGCAGAAGCCAAAAGGAGCACTATTAGAGAGCGATATCTATGCGCAGCGAAATCACCGTCATCTCCCGTGTAGCTCAAAAAAAGATGAAATTCATCGTGTACTCTCGAGACAGTCGTTCTATTATTCAGTTTTGGGAAAAAAAGGAAGTAGAAAAGCAGTTTTAAGAGAGAAAATGAGCCAATTTTTTGGAGTATTCTCAAGACTGGTCGCAATATGTTAAAAGTTCATATCCACTAGATTGGAAAAGTTTCTTGATTAGACAAACGGAATAAATATCGTATACACATTTTATAGCAGATTTTCCAAGCGGTAATGGAAATTTGTTTTTTTAGACTTATGATGAAAAGGACAGGTCTAAAGTAAGGCTGACGTACCTCGGTGGAAGTGAAGTGTGCATTCCGGATTATTTTATCCAGAAGCATTTGATCTTTCTAAAATGGAATGC